CCACGACATACCATATACAGATACAGATATATACACAAATGTCTACAACCAAAGACACAAAAAGTCATGAACAAACTAAAGGAAAAATATTAGAACACATAATCTATGACTGTGACCCACAATCCATGAACAGACACAAAAATGTATATATGACAGTGACCCAAAACCATGAGCATTCAAATATATATGTATGAATATATACACAAATGTCTAAACTCAAAGACACAAAAAGTCATGAACAAACTACAGGAAAAATATTAGAACACATAATCTATGACAGTGACCCACAATCCATGAACAGACACAAAAATGTATATATGACAGTGACCCAAAACCATGAGCATTCACATATATGTATGCATATACAAAATGTCTAAACTCAGAAACACAAAAGTCATGAACTACAGGAAAAATGTTAGAAAAAACAATCTACAACAGTGACCCACAATCCATGAACAGACACAAACATGTATATATGACAGTGAACCAAAAACCATGAGCATTCACATATATATGTATGCATATACACAAATGTTTAAACTAGGGATGTCAACGAGTACCCGGTTAACCGGGTACTCGATTGAACGTCCGAGTATCGAATACTAAAAATGGTACTTGGTTTGTTTTCTTATGTTTTCTTATTTCAAAGTACATATTTTTATCAAAAACTTATCAAAAAATAACTTAAATATGCATATGGTAATTAGCTTGTCGTCATCTACACCTGTAAAACACATGTTATCGCCTGTGGTTGTATATATACGGTAATTATATAATGACCAATCATCTGGTACACAGCATTTTTAACACTTATTGTGGTCCTTAATTTTTGGATGGCTTCAATGATTGTTTTCAGTAAACAATAATAGTATGGTCTATTATCTTCTTAAATTATTTAATATACACATGTATGGCAGCAAAGTCAGACATGAATAAAAATGCCGCTACCCACTTCAAAAGTGAAGAAATATTTAGAAATAACTAAAGATTTTAAAAATGTTGAAAGTCAGTTTGCATACAAAGTTTAGTGGGAAACAACCAACATATGAAATAATAGTAGACTAGCGATCCCAACAACGTCCTTTCCTTCCCTTTCGCTAGTCTAACATCACAAACCTGCGTAACAGATTGTCTTCTTTTTTTTGCGTTGATGAAATAGGTCCTAAACAAGAACTGTAAACCATTTGTAATTTTTGATGTATGAATTCTGTCTTTTGTGTTTATCTGATAAATAAATTTGGTACCAAAAAATCATTTCCCTTTGACTCAGTTGTTTACATACATTTATAAACGTGATAAAAACAGCTTTTGGATTTAACAGAGCTTAACCAGGCTCAAGAAAATTAACACACCTGTATTTTCATTTTTACCGAGTACCCGGGTACTCGATCTGAAAAACATCTGAGTAACCGATTATCAAAATTTGACCGATTTGACATCCCTAGTCTAAACCCAATGTTACACACACAAATCATAAACTACAGATAAATACTGTAAAATGTTATTACAATAACAGTGATCCACAATCAGACATATGTACAGGTTTATATGAAAGTGACCCACAAACTATGAACAGCTATGGGTCAACCACTAAACCAATATATGATTGATTCCTATCTCTCTGATTGCCTGAGATCTAACAATGTAAAACAAAAAAATATGTTGTTTTAACCTGCATGTGACCTCCCAGGTGAATATAAGGATTTATTTTCTCTACATCAGTCTAAAAATAGATCCAGAAATAGTTTTGGAAATATTTTCCTTGCACTGGACTTCCACTCAAGTGAACATAACATTAAGGAAAATATTATTTGGGGTGGGGGTGGTTGCGCAGGGTGTGGGGGGTGCAGGGAACCTCACCCAAAACACTTTTCTCTAAACATAAATGTTCACTTTTAATTTAGACTGAAAGGTTGATCCCACAATAATGGACCTTATTCCCCCCTGGACCCCCACCCTAATACAAAATTTGAAGTTAAAATAATTTTCTTTTAGTGGGGGTTAGTCAAAGATTTTTTTTCAGCTGTCTTTTTTCCCTCATAATGCTCCCTCCTTTTCAAAATCTATCCTGTATAAAAGAGCCTGACATTTCCTTTTTTCATAGCAACTTAAGTCAATTAAAAATATTCCAAATGAATACAACTAGTAATTAACCCTGCTTCTCTTATCGTGTTTTGTATGGACTTCAACAAATGTAAACAAGTAAGATGGCATGTACTGCTTAATGAGTTGTATCATTTAATCACTGAATCATATAATAAAACAATTATTGCTGTTTTTTCGGTCAATACGATGATTTATCCACCTTCAAAGTACAATATTCACCTGAAGGGAAAAAAAACAGCAATAATTGTGTAATGTTTGTCTCCTGGAGAATGTAAATACACAATTCAAGCTTTGATAACTTCAATAGTATTTTTCACTTTATACTGCAGAGTATACAAAAGCTTAATTTTGATCGGGATTGAGTTCCATAAATATTAATGCTTATAATAATATAATAATATATAATAATAATAATAATAATAATATAATACTGAAAAGGACAAGCATGAAAAATACGATCTGTATCTAGCAATTTGAAAATGATTTTCCTTCTTATTAAGCAGGCATCATGGAATTTCACAGAATGTTGCATATTGCATAACAAACTTTAACCAACTATGCATTGCAATGTTCATTATAGTGTACCAGCAACATTTATTGACAATTAGAAAGGGATTAAAAAACTTTTTTGAGACAGTCTTGTGACCTTTTGTTTGGGGAATTTTATGAAAAAAATGTATGAAATTGGGAAGTTATATTTTGGTAGAAGGCTAACTGCTCATGATAATCATACAAACAATATGCCTGCTAGATGTTCAGGAGTAAGGAAGAAACTTTTTGTAGATCACATAAATCTTTATGGTTTTGGACCCATCCCTCAGCCCCCATGGATGCAGGGATCATAAAATTAACAATTTTTGTTTTTCTTTATCAAAAGATGCCAAATACTCAAATTGGTTGAAAATGGTTCAGCCATTTCATAGAAAAAGATGTCATTGTCAGAGAGATCCTATAACATCTCAAGGATAAAGACTGATTAAAAAGTTGTGACAAAATATAAGTGGAACAACAAAGAAATAAGTAACACATTACCTTCACTGATGATAGTTCCTTCCAGACAATGCTGATGCTACTATCATTAGAATCTTCTACATAATATTCTGAAAAAAAAAAATATGTAGAACAATCAGTTTTCAGATGGGATCCTCTCAAGGAGAGATCATGGATCTACACTATGTGGTACATGCAAAACTGAATTCTTTTCAATTGAAATCCTTAAGTCATGTGTTATTAAAAATTTCCATACTTCAAAATAAAAATAATACCAATATTAGTCTTTGGAATCTGTGGGTCATGTACATGTGCTGCAACAGGGTTTTCATCATCCTGTGGAATGTGTGGTATATGTTCATTTGTTGCAACAAGGTCTTCATCCTTCTGCGGAACATGTTCATGTGCTGTAACTGGATCCTCATCAGTTTCCACCTCCAGACGGTTCTCTGTAATATATGCAACAAGAATTTATTGGACTTAAGAGTTTAGTTTACAAGTTGTGTTTGTAAGAGTCTTCATACAATTCTAAGTATAGTAACAAATACCTGTGCTAGGCTGTGCAAGATATGATGCAACATGGTCCTTGTCATTCTGTGGAACATGTTCATGTGCTGTAACGGGATCTTCATCACTTTCCACCTCCAGACGGTTCTCTGTAATATATTCAAACAAGAATTTATTGGACTTAAGAGTTTAGTTTACAAGTTGTGTATTGTAAGAGTCTTTATACAATTCTAAGTATAGTAACAAATACCTGTGCTAGGCTGTGCAAGATATGCTGCAACAAGGTCCTTGTCATTCTGTGGAATATGTTCATGTGCTGTAACGGGATCCTCTTCAAGTGATCCATCAGTTTCCACCTCCAGATGGTTCTCTGTAATATATTCAAACAAGAATTTATTGGACTTAAGAGTTTAGTTTACAAGTTGTGTATTGTAAGAGTCTTCATACAATTCTAAGTATAGTAACAAATACCTGTGCTAGGCTGTGCAAGATACGCTGCAACATGGTCCTTGTATTTCTGTGGAACATGTTCATGTGCTGTAACAGGATCTTCATCAGTTTCCACCTCCAGACGGTTCTCTGTAATATATTCAAACAAGAATTTATTGGACTTAAGAGTTTAGTTTACAAGTTGTGTATTTTAAGAGTCCTCATACAATTCTAAGTATAGTAACAAATACCTGTGCTAGGCTGTGCAAGATATGCTGCAACAAGGTCCTTGTCATTCTGTGGAACATGTTCTTGTGCTGTAACTGGATCCTCTTCAAGTGATCCATCAGTTTCCACCTCCAGACGGTTCTCTGTAATATATTCAAACAAGAATTTATTGGACTTAAGAGTTTAGTTTACAAGTTGTGTATTGTAAGAGTCTTCATACAATTCTAAGTATAGTAACAAATACCTGTGCTAGGCTGTGCAAGATATGCTGCAACAAGGTCCTTGTCATTCTGTGGAACATGTTCTTGTGCTGTAACTGGATCCTCTTCAAGTGATCCATCAGTTTCCACCTCCAGACGGTTCTCTGTAATATATTCAAACAAGAATTTATTGGACTTAAGAGTTTAGTTTACAAGTTGTGTATTGTAAGAGTCTTCATACAATTCTAAGTATAGTAACAAATACCTGTGCTAGGCTGTGCAAGATATGATGCAACATGGTCCTTGTCATTCTGTGGAACATGTTCATGTGCTGTAACGGGATCTTCATCACTTTCCACCTCCAGATGGTTCTCTGTAATATATTCAAACAAGAATTTATTGGACTTAAGAGTTTAGTTTACAAGTTGTGTATTGTAAGAGTCTTCATACAATTCTAAGTATAGTAACAAATACCTGTGCTAGGCTGTGCAAGATATGATGCAACATGGTCCTTGTCATTCTGTGGAACATGTCCATGTGCTGTAACGGGATCTTCATCACTTTCCACCTCCAGACGGTTCTCTGTAATATATTCAAACAAGAATTTATTGGACTTAAGAGTTTAGTTTACAAGTTGTGCAAGTATTTTCCTACAATTCTGAATATATTAACAAATACTTATGATAGGCTATGCAAGATATGATGCAAAAATTACAATTCTAAATTGCTCTCTGTACTGCATGCAGGAGAGAATTCATTGTGATTTTCGTTTGTATTGGTAAACCATTTGATTTTAAAAACATTCACTGACAGAGGTACTTACCTTTTTTACTTTTCAACTCAAATGGGTCATCATCATCTGCATCATTATCAAGCTCTGTAATAATTTTAAGCAAAATTAGTCAAAAGTTTGTATAAAACATACTTCTGGTAAAGTATCAGTGCTGCATCGTATGTTTGCTAAAGTATCAGTGCTGCATAGTATGTTCACTCTGAATTTTGGAAACATGGTGTGTTTATACTAGGGATGTCTAAATGTGTAAATTTTCTGGTCAATTATTCAGTAGCTTTCGTCAAAGAATATTGGATTATTGTAGGCGAACATTTTTCCGTGTGGGATTAAATTACGCTATGAATGCAGTCACAAATTTTGACTGTTCATCAAAATCAATTACTTCTATCTTCTGAAATAACTTGTGTACACGTGTCAGCATAATATCAAAATGAAGATAAATAATGTTGCTTTTTTACTCGAGAAAAAATCTCTGATTGCACAAAGCCTTGGACAAGGGTTTCTGTTTGAACTGACTTTGAAATTGACCAGCTACCCCACGCAAATGCACTTCTGTGTTGATAAAAGTGTAGACTGTAGTTGTGATTTCAGACTGCATTTCCGATCCCCCCTCTTTTTAAATCGCAAATGAATCTGATCTGCATACCACTCAGGAAATTTATTCTTCATATATTTTTTTTTATTTCATTATATCCAGCAAAATCAAAGCTGGTGGAACGTACCACATATGTATGTTTTCCAAGTCTTTTGATCATTGTGCTCATGAAGCTGATGTTCTTTGGAAGCATCAAATATGCACAGGACAGGCATATTCAAGTGACACAATGGTAATTTATCTCTCATATTTTCAATATATTAGGGTACTGTATTTTTTTGTAATGTTTACTTATGAATACATGTAATTTTCTACTCGGGGATTAAACAGATTTTGTGATTCCATGGAATTATGACCCCATGGAAAAAAGTATGTTTACAGTATTCAAACTTTTTATTTACATACTACCACTGTTACAGTAATGTTCCCAGTTTAATGAATAAAATATATTGGCCAAATTAATTTACCGATGCATATACATGCGTGCAAAGTTCTACATTATACGAGGGCTGTTCGGAAATTATTGAGACATTCTGTATATTTTCCTTTCTAATGAACGTCTTTCGGTGAAAATTTGCACATACGTTTAACAAACATTAAGAATTCATAAAAGCAAGAAATATTTTACAAATATTAAATTTCTTTTCTTGAACTGTATATAAATGTGTCAATGGTAGGGGTACCCGGCGCAGTCACAAAATCAGATAATGAAAATATGTAACACCAATGTTCAACATGTGGACCCATAATAAGAACGAAAATAATTCAATTTATGTATATAATTTTTTAATTTTATTTTGACTTCATCTTGTGCAAGTTTGTTAGAATTCTGATCAGAAATATGGAGATCATTAAAAAAATTAAGCACGGTAAAGAAATCTGATAACGACGACAAAATGGATTTTGACGTCAAGGCAGAGCAGCAAGAGATCTAAAATTTTGTGTAGCACTATGTAAAACTCCTTTCCAGACTGACCAACCTGCTAAAACAATAATGAGAAAAAAACACGTCTAAGGGTTTGTTCCATGTATTTCATTGGTATATATTTTTTTCTAACCTATAATTCAACTACAGTAAAATCAAAAGCTCCGGACGACCACCAATTTTTACCATAACGAAATTAATAACGTTGACCTGCATTGCATAAATCAGCACTGCATGATGCTAAGTCATCCTGTGTAAATGATGCATGAAAAATTTACAATAGAAAAGCAACAGCACACATTTTCTAAAGAATCGTTTAAGAAAAGAGACAGTTTGATTTTTGTAGGGTATATAATTATGCTAACAAAGAAAGAAGAGTAAACGCTTCCCGAACGTTTCACACGCAAAATCATCTCCGGCTGACGTGAAGTTAAAATGACGTAGCGATGCTGCTCCAGGTCAATAGACATATGCATGTTTATTATTTCACCAGAACTTATCTAATTATCCTTTAAATTAGAAATTTTGTATAATTCTTTCATTCGTTCGATATAAAATGTTGACGAATTTTCCTGAAATTATCTCTGCCCTTTATGGAGTTAAAGTAATTGTCTCAATAATTTTCGAACAGCCCTCGTACATGTAATGAAAGCTATTTCAATGCATGTTGTCAATAATGAGTAGAAATTTAAAATGCTATTGATGTTTCTTTACATAAAATAAATTAAAATATCATACTTTCATGTAAATTAGTTGAATCTGATTTGTTGAGAAACATTTGTTAAAAAACCCTTTTACCCCCTGAATGATGAAACCACACCCTCCAATGATGAAACCACACCCTCCAGTGCAGCTACAGTCAAACATTGCTTCATGAGGAGTGATATTCAAAAAAAATATCGATGTGCAGAATTTATGCACACGTGGTACAGTTTTATATTTATTCAGTATAATATAAATGAAAGAAAAAGTGAGCAAGCTCACATACCCCACGCTTCCCCAAAACTCGACAATGCAACACGTAATGAATGGCACAGTGCATTTTAAATACACAGTATAATTCAAAAAAGGGACATTACTTGCAAAAAATCATCACATCAAAACTTCTTGCATATAAGGACATTCAAATCTTTGTATGTTACAAATTTAACTGGGCTGAAGTTTCTAGATAAATAATGGAATCAAAATTTCTTGGTAATATACAAATCTATACATTATTCTGAAATACCTACAAAGTTTCAGGAAATTCAGTGCCGGAATTATGCTGACAAACTGTTATTTAAATTCCTCAGTGATTTCGATTTGTTAATGAGTGTAAGTCCTTGTCCAACACATGACAGTTTACACATTTAAATAATTGATGGAAACAAAATTATGATGTAGTCATTCATATGAATCTGTTTATATACTGTACTTATGAAATTATTTAAGGCAAAGCACACCAATTTGAAGGGGGGGGGGGGAGAGAACTATCGAAGATGGTGTGTGTGTGAGTGTGTGTTTGTGTTAAACCATTAATATTTTGATCTCAAAATCAATAGGGGTCTTTTAAGGTCATAAAATATTTCACATAGAATTTCATTATAAAAAGCTGATTCCAGTGGAGTTTCTTATTACCTAGCTGGAAAGTTTCTTCAATAAAAGGCAAAACTCTTAAGGCAAAAATAATGGAATCGGAATTTACTGGTAATATGCACATCTACACACTGTGTACTAAATATCTACAAAGTTTGTCCAAATTCTGTGCAGCGGTTTAAGAGGAGTTGTGCTGACAAACTGTTCATCTCTATATTCAAGATATGGCCAAAAACCTAAGTTGAAAAGTGCTGAAATTCCCAGAAAAAATAATGGAATCAGAATTTCCTGGTAATATGCACATCTACACACTGTGTACTAAATATCTGCAGAGATTGACCAAATTCTGGTCAGGGGTTTAAGAGGAGTTGCGCAGACAAACTGTTCATCTTTATATTCAAGATATGGCCAAAAATCTAAGTTGAAAAGTGCCGAAATTCCCAGAAAATATAAAGGAATCGGAATTTCCTGGTAATATGCACATCTATACATTGTGTGCTAAATATCTGCAAAGTTTGACCAAATTCTATGCAGCGGTTTAATAGGAGTTGTGCTGACAAACTGTTCATCTCTATATTCAAGATATGGCCAAAAACCTAAGTTGAAAAGTGCCGAAATTCCCAGAAAAATAATGGAATCGGAATTTCCTGGTAATATGCACATCTACACACTGTGTACTAAATATCTGCAAAGTTTGACCAAATTCTGTGCAGCGGTTTAAGAGGAGTTGCGCTGACAAACTGTTCATCTCTATATTCAAGATATGGCCAAAAATCTAAGTTGAAAAGTGCTGAAATTCCCAGAAAAATAATGGAATCGGAATTTCCTGGTAATATGCACATCTACACATTGTGTCCTAAATATCTGCAAAGTTTGACGAAATTCTGTGCAGCGGTTTAAGAGGAGTTGTGCTGACAAACTGTTCATCTTTATATTGAAGATATGGCCAAAAATCTAAGTTGAAAAGTGCCGAAATTCCAAGAAAATATAAAGGAATCGGAATTTCCTGGTAATATGCACATCTATACATTGTGTGCTAAATATCTGCAAAGTTTGACCAAATTCTGTGCATTGGTTTATGAGGAGTTGCGCTGACAAACTGTTCATCTCCATATTCAAGATATGGCCAAAAATCTAAGTTGAAAAGTGCCGAAATTCCGAGAAAAATTAAAGGAATCGGAATTTCCTGGTAATATGCACATCTACACATTGTGTCCTAAATATCTGCAAAGTTTGACGAAATTCTGTGCAGCGGTTTATGAGGAGTTGCACTGACAAAAAAACAGGACTGACGGACTGACTGACTGACCGACACATTGACTGACTGACTGACTGACAGACGGGTCAAAAACATTATACCTCACGCAACTTGTTGCGTGGGGTATAATAAATAAATATAGCATGTAGTTGAGGGCAACATAAAAAAATTTTCAGCACTCGAAAACCCTTGTAAAATTGCTAAACACTTGATTTTGGCGGCATTTTAAGCTTTTTAAAAAGACAAAATGGATCCGATTGAATTCAGAAGAAAGACACTGAGTAAGCTTCATGAAGAAAATGGTGGATCAAATGTATGCATATAATTCAGTCAAATTAACTGGTATATGTGCAACTTTTTGACTGTTCAAATTAAAAAAAGAAGTCAAACATCTATGGTATCAAAGAAAAATCAAATATTTGTTGACATCCCTAGTTTATGCACACAGGCATACTGTAAAATTAAAATTACCATATTTCTGCAGCTATTGCATCATTATTGAAAGAAGATAATTATCCAATAATCAATATACTTTTGATAGGTTGTGAAGCTTTGATAATGTTGCTAATATCTATATATATACAATTACCTATTTAAGATTAGGATATAAATATTGTATCACTCTAGTTATTTTGTGCATTCAACAAGTACAACAAAATGAACTTTCTCAGTATGAATCAAAGAGGAAATGAAATGAACATGAATACTAACCATAAACTTAAGAGTGTTGAATTAACAAATAAAGCAAGAAAAAGAAATCCAAAATATTCATTTTAAAACCAGTTTCTTCTCCCCACAATACGCATACATCACATAAACAGTAACTGCTTTTGATAGCTTAACATGCCCAAGATACAGAAAGTGAATATTAGGTGGACATCATTCAGTAGATATGAAGACATGGAGCAAATTCTTACATTTGATCTTGACCTGACATGGCTGGGCTCTGACAGACATCTGCATTTCTTCACTGTACATTTAAAACTTAACAATGAACAGGATTTTAGAGTAACAGAGTTCATATAAATCACACTTAAGACAACCTTCACCTTAATACTACATGACAAGATCATAATTCTGCATTTCACTATAGTATGTACCGGTACTCAAAACATGGCACAGTCCATGCAAATTTGGTCCAGTAATAGTCTATACTTACTTTAGAAATGAATTCAATAGCTACCCACGTTATACTGTATAACCTGGGTTGGGACAGTTTAAGCTTTATGAACCGTGAAGTATAAAATTTGGTAGCTATTAAATTTATTCCTTATAATTTAATTTTCCATCTTTAAATCAAGAAAATAAGACAATTTCTCCTTCAAAAATGTCTTCGAATTGTGCATATTTCAAATGTAACGTCAAGCAAATTAATACATTTTTGACGTAAGTCATTGTGACGTAGGCAACACAGGTTATACAATATAAATTAAGTTTTTATCCAATCAAATGATGCGTTACAAACGAAATTAAATTATTTCGAAAAAGATCTGCCCCAAAAAACTTAACCCGTCACACAAAAAACTATTCTAATTATTATTAATTGTATATTAGTATTGCATATATTAATTTATATAACAGTATATCATGTATACATATATATATATATATATATATATTAAAGATTTGCATTTGTGGGGAGATGTATTGAACAAAATAACTCATTAACACAACAGTCACCTGGTTTTTGCTGCTTCTATTAAACAATAAATATGTTTTGATATAACCTGTAAGGTATGCAAATTCCAAGTCTGCGCATAAAATGCCAGTTCAAAGCTTGAGCCTTGTACAATTGTTGTCATGCTTGTGAAAAGTTAACCAGAACATGCTAACTGGTTCATTAATTAATATTGCTACTGAGCATAACTGCATCATGTTAAAATAACTTGATAAAAATTGAGATATCCAATGATTAGAGATATCCAGGGTAAAATACTTAAGGAATAATGGGTTGGGACTTCCAAATCACTTCTACATATCCAAAGTATTCAAGATATCAGTGTTTGAGAGACCAAATTTCAACTGTACATAATGTAAACTTCTATTCTTGCAGCTTTACAAAGTTTTTTTCGTATGTTGTTTAAAGTCCCCCTCGAGAATTTTTCACTCATTAGGAGACGCCACCATTTGCCGCTAGAGAGCTGTAAATTTTGTCCTATACTCAGCACTTACGGTCATTGAGCAGTGAGGAATATTTTTCGTGCCAACACCTACTGCGACACAGGACCTTGGTTTATATGGTCTTATCCGAAGGACCGGTCTCCACGTTCCACAGTGGGATTCAAACCCGAGACATAAGGAGTAACTTCTTACTCCATGACTCTAGAGCAGACGCTCTAACCACTAACCACGCGGGCGACCCTTTACAAAGTTATGGCCAGGAAAAGACTTTTACATTTAAAAATGTTTTTTAATTAAAAAAAAGACTGTTTAAAGTGGCTGGTTCAGGTTAAGAAACACTCCGGTCATGAGCAACCTTTGCTTTAAGTTTGAACTTCTGATGTTTTTCCATTACAAAGTTATTGCCCAGACACAAATTTAACAACTTTTCTGCTAGTGACACTGATCTTGCCCAAATGAACTTTGTTCAACCTTTTCGTCCAGTATGAGCTTCCAATTTCTCTCCATTGCAATGTTATTAACCCTGTCACAATTGCAGGGAAGACAGATGGACAAGTGACTGTTATAACCCCCAACCTTGTTTGAAGGTGGTATAATGATTACTTAATTTTTGTATTTTCCCAATTTTAATATATTGTCAATTTTACCCATTTCCAAAGGTCCTGGTCCCATTACAAGAACATTGAAAAAAAAAAGCACTGCAAAGATGATACAGCATGTAAAATTGGAAAATCCCTTATTCTAAATATTTACCTGATGTCTCCAAGAAAGATTCTCAATTGAATCGCCATAATCATAGCGGATCTCCTCTCCTTTTTTAATATTCCTTCTAGCAAAAAGGCAAAGCCTTGGGTAATTATTCACTACTTTTAACTTCATAACAGCATTGTTTTCTGGATCATCTAAAGCTGCATCGTTGACATATCTGCCAAGCCTTTGAAAGCTTTCAGATGCATCAATGCTTGTAAAATGATAATGAAAACAATATGTAGAGAAAAAGTTAAAAGTTACATATAAACAAAAGAACTCATATCAGGGTTCTCCACATTTGAACATTTAACCATGGAGGAAGCTGCGTGAAGGCGAAATGTGACCAAATTAAAACAGGAATGCATGTTAGACTTTCTAACATGCAAGTAGTTTTGCTTTCTCTATTCTGTTTTTCTTAACATTCCTTTTTCTACATATTGCATTTTTGCAGAGTTTCCTCCATTGTTTACTTCTCCATGTGCCCCAGTGCTAAAAATAGCACCATGCCATGTTTCAAAAAAAAAAAAACGGGAGGTACATGTAACTCTAAAACTTAGACAGCAATTGGAACTTATGTACATCATCAGAAATATAATAAAGTTAATACTTAAAAACAGAACATGGGGAATTGATTAAATACAAATGAATAGGAAATTGTAAAAGGGTTATTTTTTCTGGGCACACAAACTTGAATCGGATCTTGTTGGTTATCATGTTGTGTTTCCTTTGTAAATCTGCTGTTATCTTATTATAGTGAACACGTTGGAATTCCCCGCAAGTACATGTGTACAGGAAAATTTACTCTCAAGATATTAATCGTTAGCTGATTGACTCTCTATTGTCATACTTCACAGCATAGTCGCCGATCAACGACCATGTTTGTTTAGCTCAACTCCGTCCACTTTCTCTCGAGGTGCATGTAGTATAAACACAATTAACAACTCAAGTCATTGAAAGTAGGTGTCAATGCTGAAATGCAATAAATATCAAATCATGGCGGCCACCGATTTTGACCATGGCACAGCTCATTTAACCACTGCGCAAATAAATTTTACCATGATGGGCCGCCATGGTAAAACCCCCTGTGGAGAACCCTGTCATATGAAATATTAGGGCTGCAGGAACATACACATGTTATGCATTAATACATATCACAATATAGTGGTCACAATATATGAATCACTATGTATTTTTCAAAAAAAAAAAAGAACTGAATTAGCAGCGGACATTCAAAAAGTAGAAGGGGGTTTGGGGTTCCTCTCCTAACTTGGGGTTGAGGAAGAATACTTCAGTAACCGGGGGATAATGTCATTATAGGAGGGGAAATTCCCTGGCCCCTGGTCTTAAGGACAACACTGCAATAAGAACTAAAATAACCTGTGTCACTGTAAATTGACCTTTATTAATCTGATCAAGGTCAAATCTTTATTAAGGACAAAATAATGACCTACAAAATATTTCAATTTGGTGTGATTAAACAGAAAAATAAGTATATGTGAAGGTATTTATATTTCATCATTGATTATATATACACAGTAAAACTTGTGTATATTGGCCATAAATGGTTTCATAAGATTTTGCCAGATTAGAGAACAAGTTAAAGAATTGGAGAGTGTTACGCAACATAATTATGAAATATTTGGAAACTATATATTTCATCGGAAAGCAAAACATACTGAAATGCATTTCATCTGATTTAAGTGCACATGCATAAATCAATTGAATATGCTGTTTCAGGGTTTATACTGAAGTCAGAACTAGGGTTGGATACCGTTAAGGATGAAACGGTACGATACCATACCGATATTTTTGAAACGATACGGTATTTTTAACGGTACGGTACTATACCTTGATGAATGAGAATGAGGGTTCATTTCATAACAAATGTATGCTTTCAGTAAATCACCAACCTTTCAATGTTATGACCCAGAATGAGCTTATAAACTATATTTATATTTCAACCTTTTAATAAATGATCAACAAAACAAATAAATTGAATCTCAAACAAATTAATAATCACAAGTATACACAACTTCCATGGTTGCTAGGACCCATCTTGTTTGGTCGCACTAAACAAAGAAACGTTAGAAAATGGATAGAAATGCACATCACATTTTTGCGACATTTTGCCTTTTTAATTTACATTTTATATTATCAGTTTTATTAATTAAATTGAAACATGATTAATTTGAATGTATTTAATTTTTTTATAAACAAAAATATATGTACTGATTTACCTCGAATATCGGCAGTCAAAAGCAAGTGTCGGACAGTCATACTAAGCATCCATTTCGTTACTTAGCCTACCCTTTCAATGTGCGGAGAATTAAATTTTAGCGAGTTTTAAATCATTTTGAATGTATTAAAATGTTTCAAAGATTAAAAAAACAATATACCCCCGGGATCTTTCGATCCGGGGCCATAAAAATTGTACCGTTATTAGTACCGGTATTAAATGAAACGGTTTTTCACGTGTTTTTTTCAGTAACTATTCGGTATGGTATTGGTACCGAGTACCGGTCCAACCCTAGACAGAACAATGTTGGATTTGGTTCAAAGTTAATGCACGTCTATCCCTTGATTACATACTTCTTTGACTTATACTGCAATTGACTTTCAGAGCACGAAAGAAACTAAGTTTATTCTTTTATACCTACCAACGCATTCCATTCCACTTAAAATAATAAACGTAGCAGTGACCCCTCTTCTTCCTTTTCTCTCTTTCTTCTGCTTCTTCTGGAGTAATTCTTTCTCCCACATACTCCAAAAGAAAACTACCCTTTGAAAACTGCTGGGTGGTAAAAACACCAAATCCTTCAAATAAACATTTTGAAGAAAATTAAATGGAAATACAGACAGAAATACTTACTAATACTTGTTCAATATTAATAAATACATGCTATGATATCACTAGTAATCCAGAGTATCACTCCCAAAGTTGATGAAAAATTGAAATGATGTTAATTTGCATATAGTACACAAAAAAGACAAAATGAAGACACCCTTTGTTCTGTAATTAGGAGAGTAATTCTATTTACTGGGTAATTATAGTTAGTTATACATATATAAATACTGGGTGTTTCAACAAACATGTCCCAACTTTTGCTGTCTATATTTTTGCACAACAATATAATATTTACAAAATTATAACAGTTACTGTATGTTATAGCAAATTTCCGGCAATATAATTGTGATATAAATAATATGAAATAACATCATTATATTTTTTCCACTGAATTTTGATTACTTCTTCAAAAATCAGGTTGTCAGATTTTTTTCTCTAAAAATGGATCTATGGATGTTTTTGAACTGAACAATACAAACAGAAAATCTCCAAAATCACCAATACCAGTGCATAAGATTTTGAAAAAAGAAGTACATGTACTCATATGAAAACTATCTTTCTAAGAAACAGACTTCAAATGATGTCAAAATATATGCCATACAGGACTTCAAAGACAAATTGAGGACGCTAACTTTACAACATTGCAGCTTTTTGCAACACATAAAAATGACGTTAAATTGAAAACTGCTGCTGATGTTCAAACTTTAAAAATGCCTGTTTTAAAAAGTAATTGATTCAGCATTACTTCAAATTTCATATTGAAAAAATTGTTTTGTTATGTGGTTTTCATTTTTGCAAAAATTTCGTCACATTAAAGAGGCTGGGGGGTTGTGGCCATTTTTAGACTATATTGATCTCCTTTAGAAGAAGAGCTCCATATGAAGATATAGAAAATGATCAAATTTTAAAACTAAAATTTTTGAAATTTTTCTTTGCCAAATGATAGTTGACAGCTTAAGCAGTCAGGGGTGAGACTGAAATCCGTCATTTTTAAAATGACGATTTTAAGCCATAAAATAAAATTTTTATTATGACTTAAACTCGTCATTTTTAAGAAAATGACGAAAAACAGTCATAAAAATTTAGAGTGTTTATAGAATACCGAGTTACCTCTCTTTGAAAAATGTTAGATCCACCAACCGAAAAAAGGACAAAAAACGTCGTAAACGAACTTCATTTCTCTAATACAGTTGACTACAATACTGGTTATGTTGACAGTATAAATTTCCCAAGCAAAAATAAGAGTGGAAGAGTTATTTGTCAATTTATTTGCATTAAATAGGAAAGAAGACGAAAATGACGATATTCCGTCTTTTTTCAAAATGGAGGGTCTGGGCGCACTGAAATATCTCGCTTGTTTTACGGGGCGCACTACTTTTTTATGGCTTTAACTTTTTGTCGAGACTTTTCTCTACAAGTACATATTCTTCCAGACGGTGTACTATATGTTTTTATAGGGCTAAAAGCCATGTAAAAATGGCGAATTAGTTCTACCAAAATTCGACATTTTACCGCTAAATAATAACTTTCACCTTCCATGTTGATGTTCTAATGCACGTGGTCGGCAGTAATTAGTGACCCGGATGAAATGAAACTTGCGTAAACACTCTTCTTTCAGCGGTGAATTCAAATTTCGCTTTTATGTAACCAGGATAGAAGAATTAAGTTGAAAAAGAAAATATGACGATAGTAAGTCATATTGACAAAAATGACGAAAATACGTACTTAGTAAATATGACGATTATCCATCATTTTTCAAAAATGACGGATTTCAGTCTCACCCCTGACTGTTAAGATATCATATCTAAAAAATTAAGTTAAATCTGGTGGTTAATTTATGGTTAATTTGTTGACCCCCCAGCATCCTTAATACTGTGTAACTTTATACTGAAACCGCAAAGCCAGGCCATGTTTGCTGAAACACCCTGTATATCATATTACATACTAGTGGAACAGTCAACTACAAAATACTTTACAAACTCATTGATAAATATTATTAAATTTTGTTAGCATATACAGATGTAGAGCACCAAAATTCAGAGGTGTACAATAAAACAAATATTAATCTCTAGTCAAAGCTAGCACAGAGCACAAAATCTCTGGCAAAAAAATTTAAAGTGTTCAATTTTTCAAACTGGGCCACATGATTTTCCTCAAAATAAAAACATATACAACTAAAAAACTTTAATGATGTTTCGAAGGAAATTTAGGATCAAATGGAGTTTACAGACAAAGACTGAAAGAGTCCCTTTACTGTAAAACATTAGGTTGTGATTCTGTTTAATTATCAACTACCCATGTTGACAGGTCAATATTTGACAGGTTAACAATTGACCTTCAATCAGAAAAAAATTTTTCACAGAGCCTTTGGTACAGGTGAGATAAAAAAAAGTTACTATTTTGATAAGAATAACCTACAGTTCTACAAATAGTTCAAAATGTATTTCCTACCAATTTTTCTGTCAATTAGTTTTTTTTGAAATCCATCTTGATCCAGCCCACTCTCACACCAAAATTTGAGATTCTCTGCTGGGGAAAGTCTTTGTTTCTAAACAAGTGGAAATGATACTATACAATTATGAATTTCAGTTTAGGTTGATATGTAGTTATAAGGATCCGTGTCAAGTGATATTGACTAAAGACATATAGTGACCAAGCTTGCAAGTTAATGCCAAATGTTAACATCTCACATTGAAAGTTTCGAACATTGTGAACAAAAAAGAAAACTTGACTGTCCAGAACTTAGTAATTCAAGCAATACTCTTGAATAATTTCTAGACTCCAAAAATATCGAATAATTTTATCATTTTATTAATATATTTTCCAAACAAATGTATTGTACTTGTAAATAATTTAAACAACATAAATTTCAAAGAGTTTCCTGCATTTTTCGTGCACTATCAATTCTGTCTAATCTGGCAAAATTGTATGGAATAGGCAGAATCTGGTTTGGACATATTATACTGTACTTACCTTCTTGGACTGCTGCTCTAAGATACTTTTCAGCAGCTTATGAAAGGAAATCAAATTATAAAACTTAATAATATTTTGCAATCTAGACTATAAAACAACTATTGTACATCATGTAGTTTTACTTTGGAGAATCTCAGACCCATTAGGGACTAAAATTAACCTGAGGCCAACATTTTTTTATTAAATGATTTATGGCAATTTTTTTTTTAAAAATTGGGAAGGGGGGGGGGGAGAGATAAATAAAAATAAAATTCATATTTTACATAGTCAACTAAAACTAAAATTGAAAAGAGTGTCTGAATTTCTTATTTTCAATTATTCAATAAAAATTGCCATAATTATATATAAATACTGTGTGGAGCTTAAAATATGATAACTGCAACACAAAAATTAAAGTAGACTATTACACCCTTATGAGAAATGGGGGAAATATAAGGAATTTCTTATCAAAATATTTAACATGACCATGACAAGATGACCAAAGAAAAAAAGATTATAAACATGATAAAGAGAAGCTTACTATGCTCAAATTAAGGGGTGGGACGATATACCGATACATATCAATATTTTCTAAGATACTGTTTATGATACATGCATTGATATGTTGGTAAGAAACGATACACGAAGGACTAAGGCTGAGATGATTCACCGAAATATTGATATTGTTCAATATTACTGCTCGGTTCACTATCTCGATTTTTGGTTCGTTACGTTTTTTTATAATCCAGTTTGGTTACTCCTTGATATAGATCAGGTTTGACCTTATTTTAATAGTTTGACACACGAGGGAGAAAATTGCCTCGGAGAAAGTTTCAGAGCAGGCTGCCACTGTTAGTATTAACACAAACAAAGTGCTCTTTTAATCTACAGAAGCACAAGTAGTGCTCTTTATTGTATCACCACCTTTTACTTGAAATCTGAATACATGTTTTCCATAACTTTATGATTTGTTTCTTCTTTAAAATGTATTGTATTGAAAAAAATTGAATTGTGACACAAGTATCGCGATACGTACCGTATTGTGGAGGGGGCGTATCGTTTCAGCCCTATGAATAACCTATCAAAAATTTGAAATTGAAAGTAGTTTTCTTTGGAAAATGGTGGCTTGTACGAAGCAAAGAGATGATATTCATATTGAAAACATGTTTTAGATCTAACTAGATATCATTGAGATGGTGGCCATCAAACATTGCCATGAAAATCACGAGTGCTCCATACCCTCTATCAAAAAACAGCACAAAAATCACGAATGTTGCATATCCTCTATGAAAATTGTTGCATATCCTCTATCAAAATATGGAAGGAAAATCACAAATGTTCTGTACCCTAAGTCATTTGGTAAAGTTTGAGGCTGACTGGACTTAAGAGAAAGAAATTATGCACCTAATGAAGATTTTAAACACAGAGGTTATTTTTGACCTTGACCCTTGACCTAGAAACACATCCATTGACCAGTGGCACTCTGTGAGTGAAGTATGAGGCACATAGGATGAAGGGGAGAGATGATATGTATGCTCCAGACAAGGACTTTTCATATAATTCTGCTATGACCTTAACCATAGACCTAGAAACATGGTTCAAGGTCACTGCACACCCTTTACCCAAAGACACTCTGTGGGTGAAGTATGAGCCAGATTGGGCCAAGGAGAGAGAAGATATGCTCCAGACAAGAGATCTGGCATAAACACATGATAAAATACCATTTTGTTTGCAGTGTCTGTTTATAATTTAACACACAGGAAAATAGTCAGTACAGTGCTGCGTATGATCTTTTTAAAATGTTAAAAGTTTGAAAATGTTTCTTGGATATACATGCAAGTCAGATACATCACATTTTATTCTTCACAAAATTTGAACGTCTATTTTCAATTTCCACTTTTTTAATCACATTCATCAACTGAAAGGTATCAAAATTGTAAGAGAACTACTGTATATGGTACCCATGGCGAAAGTGACAGTCTTGTCAACATACCCTCTAGTAAAATGGATTATGCTGACCATTTTTTAAAATTTCTTTTTAACTCCAACTTAACTTCTTCATCGGACATACTCTAATTGATTTTTCTGTTAGCTATGGTTGACTTTGAAAAAATATCGTGGTTAAGGGCAAAGTATTCTCAACTTGTAAAATTTGACATTTCTGCATCAATTACCTGCTGGCACATTTCATCCACTTCTGAAACAGTTGATAACAAACGTTAGGGGTGGGACGATATACCGATACAAACCGATATTTTCTGCTAAGATACGGTTTACGATACAAGCATTAACATATCGGTTCGAAACGATACACGAACAACCTATCCAAAAATTGAAAATGAAAGTACTTGTCCTTGGAAAATGGCGGCTTGTATGACGCGAAGAGATGATATTGATATTGACAACACGCTTTAGAACTTATAAGTCGGAGATAAGGGGTAAAACAATTTCACTTTTAAGTATCTTCGGAAGATGGGACAAGAAAAGTTCCGTATGTAAAGTCGGTAAAGCGTGTGATATACAGAAAATATTGTTTCCACAACAGTTGATATTATTAACCTGATTAATAAATTGTTATAGTCCATCTGGCACTAACAGCGCATAACAAAGCATGGATTTTCTAATTTCAAGAATTTGAAATTTTGAAACAAATTGTGGATTAATTTTTTTATAAACTCAACTCGGTTGCAGACTTTCAGCAATTATTAATAATGTACATGTGATGTTTTTTAATGAATTTTTAGTCAATGTTCTGAAATAATGAACTACACAACTATTTATAAACAACTTGTTTATAGACATTTGGCGATACTACAAGTAATATTGTTTTTGTAAATATTTAGTCAATGAAATTGATGAAGTTCAAGTATTAATTTCAAATATCACATATAATTTGATATAGAATGATTTGTTGATTTATCATGTTTATTGTCAAGACAAAAAATGAAAACAAATACTAAGTTTTTAAATAATTTTATAATTTATCATAATTTAGAGATACGTATCGTATCGTGCTGTATGTAGCGAGGTACGTATCGTATCGCAAGATCTGTGTATCGTCCCACCCCTAACAAATGTACATTGATTGGATGAAAATAATGGCTTTCAATTAAGCAGCCAATCAGAATTGCTGACTTATGTGCACATTATTTTATTTTCTTAGTGCACTTGTATTGACGATTGGCGGGAAATTTAAAAATCAACAACAGTGGCCTTTATTTTTTATGTGGTTTTAGCTTAAGTGTGTAGTCTGCACTCCCATAAATCATTTTATTAAAAAATGTTGGCCTTATACAGGGATTTTCCACTGCCCCGTGTAAGGCTGAATATGGGCCTCATTCCCAATTGCAAAACCCCTCCCTTTTTCTAAAATGAACTACATAGTTCAATGTTTGAATGCATAAAAACTCCACGAATTTAACTTGATCAAAATTCATGAAAAACAAACAGGCGGTGCCAGGCAAATCGTCAGTGCACATTACATAAAACTGGAAGTAATAGTATTTTTTCTCGATATACGTCACAAGTCACGGGGTGTGGAGGACCCTTAAACGCGAAAGATTTTTTGACATGACATAATAATTTCTCTCAGGTGTTATTGTAGTAGGTAATACATTCTTTATGCACTTCAATTGCATTTAGCTGTTTACCTAAGGCTTTTTCAATGCATTGACTGCAATCGTGTTTGAGGGTTCATTTTGGGATTCTTATGAGTGCAGAGTCAATCCAATAGCATGAACTAAGACAATAAATATATGTAGAGACAATGTGAACAAGTCTAAGGGAATTTTTTTTTTACCACACAGGACATTTGGTCCTGTGTAATCAATGAACACACATGCCAAACCTCATTTTGTCAGACCGAGAAACCTAATGTAAAACAGTGAGAAACGTGAAAATGCAGAACCAAAGAAATCACATAATACTGTAGATGGTTTTTATCACTTTCATTAACGTATTTGGATTTGTGCAATATTTATTTCTCATAACAAACATTTAAATGACTCCGCGTCAAAATAGTAAAAGCTCAAAACCGGACACTGAGACATCGGACATTCTTGTCTGGTGTAAAAAATGACACATCTGACCAAAGGCACTGCACACCAGTTAGGCCTTACAGTCCGATGTCTTTCACATGGACTGGTGAATCAACATTTTAGGTTGAAATAAAATAAAGTTTTCTTTTTAACCCAGGAAGACCAGCGGGAGTACAATGTAAACAAATCACACTGGCATACTTTTCTCTTTTATTTAATACGTAAAGTGGGGATTTTTTGTATGAAATGATTTTGCTTTTTCCCCCCAATTTTTTGCTATGGTGTACATGATAAATAGGTGTAATAAATATAATTTGTGAAGAAAATACCAACAAGCCCTGAGGTTGAATATTGGGGAGGAGGTGGAAGTTCTGTCCACAAGTACCTAAATGTATGACACAGCGATTTTTTTTCCTTATATAACTGGTACCGATAAACGGTATCATTCCCAATGCCAAAAAACGTTAATTTTTCCCAATTTTGAGACTAAAAATTCCCAATTCCAAGCAACAGACTATGATGACATTGTATGTAGTATTATTTCCTTTTAAATGAAACGTACAAGTTGACTAATTCTTTCACTTCCGCTTACATCGAAAGTAGAGATTAGTCGTAATATGGCAGGACCTGTGGTGTAGACAGCGTAGTGTCATACATTTTGACAAATTGAAATCATGAAAATGTGAAAAAACAAGAGAAATGAAAAACAATAAATACTTGTTGTTTGTTCTTTAAAACACACAGTAATAGGCAATGAGGTTGGACTAAACGCCAAATATGTTTTATTTGTTTAAATGACAGAAACTGCTTTGTTCTACTTCGATGCTATTTTTCCCAATTGAACCGGTACCGGACCCTTTCCCAATGGGTAGAAAAAAATCGCTGTGACATAAATATGTACAGTAAAACTCGTTTAGTACGAACACGGATATTGCGAATTCACAGATAGAGCGAAGTTTTCTTGGATCCCCAGCTATATAAATTTAACGAATTCCTAATACGGATATAACGAATTTCGGGTATAGCGAAGTAAATTCGCATATCCAGTGACTTCGTTATAACCGAGTTATACTGTATCTGCATTTATCCGTCCCTAGCAAAGTCATGTGTGCAAAAGTCATAGATCAATGAGCAAAAAATCGTAATTTTACTTTTCTTATTTGTTTACTGAATTTATATGTTAAAAGCTATAACCAGGTTGGGATTCATCCCCCGATATCGGGATTGTCTCTGAAATGAGGGATATTTCCTTTTATGGTCAAATAAATATCTCGTGTATGCGAGACAATGTTAACTTCTTTTGTTATTTAAAGCAATGCATGCTTTATAAGCTAAAGCGCGAAATTTCTGATACAGTACACGTACAGGAAGACTTGAAGAAGGAATCCGTGCCAGTGGATTGAAATTTCATAGTCTGTGGGAGCGCCTTTTCCCATTTGAAAACTGAAAAAAGGTACTGTTTTTCATCCAACACCATTTAAACTTGCTATTTTATCAATAATACGACATTTATCTAACTTTTCAAACCTCACATACTTAGATCTTGACTTTGACTTCCATTGCTGTTAAAACCGGAAGCATGTGACTTTTTGATCATCCAATTGAAAGCAGTTTCAGATACAATTTTCGCATCGTCTAATAAAGTAAGGCGTTCAGTGCGTGCATGTTTTTAATAAAATATCCTGGTAGTCCTTGGACAGCATAAAGTGCCTCAAAAAAACAGGACAAAGATAAAAATGTTTATCGATACATGCGTTTTCTGCAAATAAATGACACATTCAATGTTTTTGATCAATATTTTAACATTATAAACAAATCTATCAAAAGATAAGTTGGACATTTTTTAAAATTTCATTTCGTCGCTTATTTCTATGAAAAAAGTGCAATTTCTAACATTTATAATTGTTTTTCCCTTTAAAATATTTTGTCATTCTAAACGAATCTCAGTGAAATAGTTTGATAATACACCAAATGGTGGTATGAACTGTGAAAGGAAGAAGAAGAAAAAGCAGTTTACCATACATTGTTAATTGTTCATATATGTTAATAACTGTCTCTATTTAAGAAAACATGTACATGTACACATCTGTAGGCGATATATTTTTATTTATCTATGAAAATCATTCAATTATTTAAAGAGCAGATATACCTATTTATGGAGAGAGAGAGGGGGGGGGAGGAGGGAGGGAGAGAGATACGAATAATAAATGCATATAACTTTATAATAGGATAGATATGCCACCCAAAAGGAAGCAGTGTAGCTGTAAACAGCACGACAACTACTCCCAAGGGAAGGAATTTGTTGTTTATAAAAATGATGGCAAAAAAATAAGGAAGAGTGCAACTGAGGCCCTCATTGAAAATGGCGATTTATTTGCACATTCAACTTATATTTGTAATGCTTGTGCCTCGTTTGCAGAGGACAAACTTTGTAAAAAAAAGAAAATAACCATCAAGGAATATCTAAACGAATTTTTAGAAGCCATTGATTCTGGTGTTTTTTGTGAAGAAAGCCTGGGTAAAATAGCAGGCAGTATAGGACGTTTTGTAGCAAGACAGGTTGCAGAAGATGCCACATCCTGCTCCAATGAGTATAAAGATGCAAGTTTTATACAACAACTCAATTTTGATGGTAAGATGTTGCATTGAAACAAAAAGTAAAATAAAAAGTGTTAATAAATAAAACGTTACCATTCAGCTAGTATGTGTAGTATTGTAATTTACTTTTTAGATTGGATGCATAAACGCAATTCAGTCCTTATCAGATTCCTACATGGATTATCCGGGGACACAAATATAGGGGTGAATAAGGTCAGAGCTATGGAGCAGCTCTATTACCTATGTAATAGAAGTTTTGTAGCGCCATTCAGTTTTTCCAATCTGCTGATGCTATATTTTGCAACAGGCAGTAAAACGGCAGTTTCTTTGTTGTCTTCGGGACTGCCATGTGGATCTTACTCCACGTTACAGGTACATGTCTATACCTGGGTTTGAAACAAATAAAGACATAATTAAAATAAGATTAACTGTTATTTTCATAAACTTTAAATACAATATATCCTTTCATAGCAAATAAAAGAATTATCCAAATTAATGAAATCCATGACAGGCACGTAGCATCGCTTTTGAAAATGGGGGGTCCAGCATGAGAATTTTTTTTACTTACCATGACATGCCAAAAAAGAAAGAAAGAAAAAAAAAAAATTGGCCAAATTCGAAAATCCTATTTTGTGTATGTGTGTGTGTGGAGGGGGGGGGGGGGTACAAACTTCCATTCTAATCTAAATTTTATAAATACATTACCTAAATTGCTATGGTTTAACTAAACTACACCAAAATTGGGGGGGGGGGGGCAGCCTTTCAGCGTACATTTACAATAGTAAAAGGTTATGTTTGGAACAAAGTGCCCCCCCCCCATCCTGATTCTACGTGCCAGCATGAGATATAGGGTTAAACGTGATAAATAAATCATTTGTTATTTACATCATTCTAGCGTTGGATACAAGACCACGGAACTATAAAACTGGAATGCCCAAAAGATTTTGACATTGTCACATTCTTTGACAATAACCAGGTTTAATCATATATTTTCATATATATTCATAACTATTTTAAGATCTATATAAGCAGATCGATGTGCAAACCACTTTCATTTAAGTTTTTAATTAAAATTATCCAATAAGATTTCTATATGTAATCCAAGTGCAGGTTTTCCCATGATTGCAAATCATTAAGTTTCATAAATTATGTACAGATTCTGCAGAGAAAATGGAGAGTCCAGTATGACTTTAAGTCTACTGCAAGTGTTTTTACCAACATTATTCACATTCTTCCGGAAAAAAATAGTACCCTGCAAAAACAGGAGCAGCTATCTCCATGTAACTGGCTGCATGCCTCAGAGGAGTGCAGGGATGTACCAAGGATGCTAATGGAGCATCAAGCAAAAATGAATGAAAAATTCCGGATATATAGGTATCATGCATTTTCAAAACATACCTCATAGGCATTTTTAAATAAATATTGCATGTTTACCATATTTAAATAAATATTTATAAAGCACAGTGTTGAAATCAATTATAAAATATTCACAATTCATATACAGAGACGAATTCATTGCACAAAAAATTGAAAGTGTTTGGGAGGAGCATGCATTAGGGACAGACTATGTTGATGGCAACAACGTTCAGTTGAAAAATAGAGCGGACGAAAGGTGTGTATTTTACATTGTATAGCAGTTTTCATATTTAAATAAATGACACGTCATAATGAGCTATCTTCAATATCACAGATATTCTTTCGTCGTGTCCCAACACCCAGAAGAGCCACCCTCTGTAGTCATGGGAGAACCTTGTTTTGAGAATCCCTGCTCATATGACGCTATTGATGAGGTATTTGTGTTATTATAACATTTTTTAATCGGTTGATAACATAAAGTAAACAACAATATAGAGTATATAACAGAGGAAATTCTGGTGCGCAAAAACAACAGAGGAAATTCTGGTGCGCAAAAACAACAGAGGAAATTCAAGTGCGTCTGTATGCATACTTTTAAATAAATATTGTTACAGGTTTTAAGTCATATATCAGACCTCACAATGTGTGGGGACAGGAAGTGGACAATTCTGGGTTGTGACGCACTACCATATACACTAGGTGGGTCAGGTTTTTACATCTCTACAATTTTTAATCAACTTATCTTTATTATTTGTTTTAAACTCAAAAATGCAGTACATGTATGTAAAAATCAATAATAATAGGTAGCCGTTTGATCGACTCTTCTTTCCTGTGCCCAACATGCCACAGGGAATTCATAGATGCTCCTAGTTTCGATGAACATCGAAACGACTCTGAGCATTCTACTACTATAAGGATGGAACAGTGCAAAAAATTTAAGAATGTACTCCTCATACCAGGTAATTTCTAATTACTTAATGTAGGTACAAATTATAAGATACTTATGTTCATACATACATGATTTTGAATATATATATATATACATGGTATATATGTACTCATGACTATTATTTTGTCATAATTTAAGGCCTGGGCCATTACGAAATAAATATGGTGAAAAGCATAATTAGTTTCATGTGGAAGGTTGCATTTGAGGACCTAGGCAAAATGCTAGGATTCAAGAGTCCCACTGCATTAGCGTCATTACGTGCTTGTGCAGGTAAACATTTCACTCAAAGCATATATTTCATTGCCTTATAAGCAAATTTGGTATTGTTGACCATTTAAAATACCTTTTCTTTTGTTCATTCTTTAAAGATCACCATAAGAGCTGGCAGGTATTGCAGATATTTCTGCATGCAGTGTCTGAGGAGCTTCTAACACCTTATGTACGACACTGTAAGACTACCCACATTCATCCATCTCTCAGGGGGTATTATGAATGGCTAAAGACATCTCAGCCTACTGTTTTATATGAATTTATGCGGGAGGTTGTATTTACTTACTGCCTCTCCATCCATGTATTCAGAGCAGGTGTCAGGCGCAACAATACTGATGCCATTAATTGTAGCAAAGCAAAGTTTGCCCCTCTCTTTTTTGGTCTTAATATGCCTTTTTACATGGAAACATACATTAGGGATTCCTTGACTCGTATACAATGTCCGCCCGAAGTTCTTGCGTTCATTGAGAGACATGAATCCTACAGTGTTTCGGGTAACGATAGCAAAGGTGAAGGAGGGGACTTTGTGCTAGAAGCAAAAAACAGAGAAACAAAAAGGCTTGTACCCTCTGGAGTCCCCACAAATCAAATCTGGACCAACATTTGTCGAAATGTAGACAGATTAGGCAAGGTACTTAATAAGCATGAATTAATTGAATAAAGAGATGTAGATCATATTGAAAAGCTATTATAAACCTGTGATAAATGTTAAAGAATTCCAATGCATTTTATTTATTGTTTGTTTAATTGCATATTAACGTTAAAATTGGAATGATTCAGTATGAAGATGACAAGAATACGGGTATTACATAAATACAATAATTTATGCTATAATGTCAATATACATTTTAAATAGATTAGATCAAAAGTGTATGAACTTCAGACCATTTCCTCCACTGATACACAGTACTCTTACGCAGTGGATTTATCCAGAGAAATCTTTGAATTCAGGTAAACATTTTAAAGATTTAAAAATCACGATCAAAGGTGTTTTAATCTAATTTAAAATGTTTTAGCTATTTTTATTTCTGATTTTATTTGAACAGGAAAATGGTACGCAGCAGCGGATGGTTTGCGTCCCGTACACTGATCAGTATAGGAGGAGTCACTCTGGATGAAGAACTCCTTCATTTCTCCAGAAGATGCCAAGACAACATGTTGGAGTTCTTAGAATCTTCTGGAAATGACCTCTCATGCAGACGGAAATTCCAGCCAATATTTGTTCTGCCAGAGGAGAGGGAAAAACATCAGGCACTGGACAACCAGACTAGGGCAACATTACTTCAAATGGTTGAAGATGTCCTGGACAACATGAGCCTTAGTCTGGTATTGTCCTATAAGCAGAGATGGAAGTCTGTAAAAAGCAAATCCAAATCGGCGATAATTCATTTCTTGGAAGAACTAAGAGAGGTGGACAAATAAAGAAGGTAACTATTTAAGTTAAACATTAATTTATTTCATCCCTCCAGTGTTGAGGGCAAAACCAGTCAATCTTGCAAAGAGCCCTTTGGCTCTTTGCCCTAATATGCAGGCAACAGGCATGCACCCAATAATTGCATTTGGGTTGGGAGCACCCAACCCAAAGTGCCCTGGTGCTCAACTCCCCCTCCCCACACATCCGACACTTGTCCTGGTCCTCAAAGACACTTGTCTGGGTCGCTTTGTCCTCACTGCGCAAAAGCCGTGGGGGGGAAGGGTACCTCACAGGTCCTGTTGAGGGTCCAGGCTGTGATCCTGTTGAGGGTCCAGGCTGTGATCCTGTTGAGGGTCCAGACTGTGACTCTTGTGACCGGCTTTCCTTCTGCATATAGAATACCATTACAATGACCACCATGCTTGTGTACAATTCCTACTCAAATCATTAACTTCTACAATTATGTACAATTATATACTGCTGAAAAATATATACATGAAAAGAGTGTCCAATATAACGAAAGGTATTTAACAAACTCTGTCATAAATATCTGTTTAGAATTGTTGTTTTCAATGTAAAAAAGTTCTAACCTGTGTAGGAAAGCCCTGGCTACGGTATACATACCGATTGTTAGAGTTGGGTACATGGACCTCAACTCTAACAGGAGAACCAGTCACCACATGCAGCTCGTGTGCCTATATCAATTTATTACACACGTAATATAAATATACAGTCGTAAATAACTTATTTTTATTGGTTTATAAACAATTGTCTTAATACAGCTTAAAAATTACAAACCTTGGAAAACAATGTATTTTTCCTCCTGCTTAGGGTCTTTGTGATGAGAGACTGCTTCTGCAGTCTCTCAACGCCAGCCTTTACCTTCAGGGGTTTCAGGGACACCACCCCTTTCTTAGAAACCTTTTCCTATAAAAGGTAAATATGTGAAATGTCATGCAATTGCACATTTATAATAATGAAACATTCTATTAACTGTTTCCTGGATGTCTGGACTTCACATGAGAAGTGAGAAGAAAGAGGGGGTGGGGGGTGGGGGGGAAATGAATAGCATGAAATGGGAATTACTACACCGTGCTGTAAAAAAATTATAAATCCATGATGATTTAAATACATTTATTTTTATTTAAAACTGCGTTCTTATGTATAACTTTTGAAACATTGTATCAATAACACACACCCTTTCCCTTGTAAACAAATACTAAAATATATTTTACAATATACAGAATTGATCCACAGACAAAAAAATAAATTATAATATGTTTAATGGTAAAACATAACTAAAACTACCGAAGAAAAAAGAATATCAGAATAATTTTTTGTTTTAATGATTTTTAGCAGTAACAGCTCGCCATACAATGATCATGCTATAGAAAAAGTGAAAGATCAAATTTGATTGGTTAATCACAATTGTCACAGCTAGGTGGCGATTCAAAATGGAGGCATAACATGTAAACTTTCCAGGTACCTTTCAATTTCAACATTTTTATTGTCGTTAATGGTCTTAAACACTCTTATTATCTTAATATTTGTTAATTACTATTAATTAGACATCATTATGTAAAATTTCTGACTCACACATAGTCAGATATAAGTGTTCAACTTACCACACTTGCTGACATTCCGCGACTATCTTCAAATAGACAACGAACGCGGATCAGTTGAAATGCACGAAAAAATCCCGCTTTGGCGCGACTTTATTATAACCATAAAAGGAAATATCCCTCATTTCAGAGACAATCCCGATATCGGGGGATGAATCCCAACCTGATAACGTCGGGAAAAAATTGCCGCGAAAATGTCGAATGCAGTGATACAGTGACTGTATCGCTTCTGTGGTTAATGATCTCACTATTTTCTTACATCAGCGGTAAACATGTATTCAAACTAAGGAAAAAGTAATGTAAGCGCTCAAATTTTCTTAACTCGCTGACTAGTACCCCATGTATGATGTATGCCACTTGCATTCCGAATCGGAGCATGTGCTTTTCTTAAGGTTGGCAAGCAAGCTCCCTTACGCTTCAGACTGAGGCGTCCACCATTTTTATTCAATTGTGCATAAGTTCAAACAAATTCAACAGTCCCTCGTTTATAACTTTATATTCAATCGCCCTTCTACTTGCTGTTTAATGAGAAAAACACTGTACTTACAGCTCTCTTCCCCCTGCTCAACCCCGCCATTTTTCTCCCACAATGCATTGCGTGTATCGCTAACCCGTATTGTGGGACATTCCACTTGACATTTATAGATACACAAAATGTTGAAAGCGAGGGACTTAGACCGACTGTTCTAAAAATAGATTTTGAGTTGTGGGACATTTTTCTATATATCCTTGTGGGTCAAAAAAAAATTTTTTTTGGTTTTTTATGATAATAATATCATTTTCACCATTTGTGTGAAGTTTAGAGTACATGGTTTATGGGTCAAAATATAGATGACCCATAAACCACCTATGGATCCCACAACGTGAGTCTGAGATACGCAAAATATCCCACAACACGCCTCTTGTATAACTATATATATATATATATATATATATATATATATATATATATATATATATATATATATATATATATATATTAACATGTATATAAATCGTGTGCATGTATGCATTTTAACTCATGAAAAATAAATCAGCTTAAGTTTAGAATAAAATAAAATACGTTTATTTGGATATGTAGAATGACAATGATTAGAATAAAATAAAATAAAAAAAAAACCCTAATTGTTTAGTGCATGGCAAAAAAAAAAAAAAAAAAAAAAAAAAAAAACACGACCACCCTTAATTAAACAGGCGGGGTACATGTATTGTTGGTAAAGTATTTATCATCATTCCTATCTTATTAGTCAAATAATACAATCGTATATCGTAAACAAATCTAACAATTGCTGCTTGAACTTGTAGAAATCGGGAAAAATTATTTAGGTCTCCTTATTGTGTTAAACTGCTGATAGGACCCAGTCATAATGATTCTTTCCTGGTGAGTATGTATAAAAAAAACTTCATTGAAACAATGGTGTTCTGACGTAATTCATCTTAATATCATCATAAAAGTAATGTGAAATATGGAGATAACGAACAGTTTTCAAGCTCAAAGTTAATCAAAACAATACAAATCGGGAGCAGAGCAAACACGGATCTCCTAAAACATCAGAGGTGGAATCAGGTGCCATGGAGGTGTGAGCATCCCCTGCCAACCGGTCACACCCGCCGTGAGTTCCTTGTTATGATAGAGAGGAAAAAACGGAAAAATCCACAGAGAATTCAGTGTGTAACAAGTAGTATGAAAAATGTCAGTCAGCATTTGACTTAATGAGAGGTTGTATTTGCTGACAAGGTCATTGTATCGACCATAAAACTTGCGAAATGATGACGTCAAACGAGACTGTTAATATCCTTGTTTCATCAAATTGTTTGTCAATAGCTTGCCTCGTTTTAGAAATTATTCATACGTATAGCATGCTCCTGCGTATCGAATCATCTGGGAGATAAAAACCCCTTATTTTTTCAGCTCCTTCTAATACATGTAATATGTATTTTAAATCAAATGTATGCACTGTATTATTAAAAAAAGATTTTCAGATGAGAAAATACCATTGAAAATGTCCTCTTTCCAAAACAAATGCCAAGAAAACTACGAAGGTCTGCTTAGAAAATCATTTATGTATCAATCATTTCACAAATTAGACCAAACTTGACAACAGTTATGCCCTTCATGCATCTTAAACTTTCGGAGTCTCTAACTGCAAAAACATAATCAGATTTATAACTGAGTCTTTCAGCAGATGTCCTGGTCGGAGGCACAGCTGTATGAACCATCACAGTTGCATTTACAGAAAATTCTGAAACAGTCTTTGTCAAGTTGGAATTTCCCGGCTGGGTAATTTTCCCCATTTACTGTGCCTCCTCAACAGCGACCTCCAGATCCTTGTGGGCTTTTACAGATGTTCTGTGTTCTACTAGAGGGACAGTTCCATGATCCATTGCAGTTACATGGACAATTGAAGCGGAAACATCGAAACTAAAGTTACTGTTTCCTGAGTACTGTAACCCGTTTCTTTGGCAGTTTTGGCAATTCAATCTTTGGGAATTTCGGCAGATATTCTGTGTTCTAGAAGGACAGTTCCATGATCAATCACAATTACATCGACAACTGAAGCGGTAACAACCGCTGTCAAACTGAAAATCACTGTTACCTGAGTATTGCATTCCATTTCTCTGGCAATTTGTACAAGATTTGGCGAAGTATATCAAGCATACAAAATAGAGAATAGAGAAGAGCCAATAGATTCGGCATCTGTAAATAAAGCGTCATGTTGTAATTTTAGAATTTACTGGGTGGCATTAAATACAAAATTTACAAGTTGTCATGTTCACAGGAACACGTTTAGTTCCTTTACAGTACCGTTGTCAGAGACCTTTAAAGTTAAGCACTAAAACTGGTTCGTTGTCATGCCCAAAAGGTGAGGTTAAGATGATGTCCGTCCGGTGTCATATCTTCAGAGAACTAGTAATTAATTTTATTTCATTTTCCAGGTGAGTTAATTGATTACAATCTCTCAAATTGCAATGGGGAACAGAACTGACAATATATATGTTGGTGCATCAATAATGTCAGATATTAACAAGTTATATTACAGTTGTAGTTTCCGTTGACGATACACCTCCCTGCTTAAAAAAAATGATTTATTTAATTTTTCTTTGGAATGAACATATTTAATACCCAACACTAGGTACAGGTAATATTATGAGATATTGTTAGCTCCTGAAATAAAAATCAAAGTAAAGTTAAATTGAAAATTTTTGCTTAATTGAATTATGTCCGTTGTCATGACAAGTTACGAAAATTCAGTCCGTTGTTATCGATCCGTTTTCAGAATTGTACTGTATACAACATTGATAAACTACTGTTTAATGTATTCTATTTATCAATAATACCTCGAAATGTTGGAAAAGAAAACCGGCCATATCATTTCGCCGAACGATTATGTAATTCGTCAGAACATTTCTAATTCGCCCGACCAAATATCTAATTTTTCCGAATGAATATCTAGTTTGTCCGAACAAATATCTCATTCGTCTCAACAAAAAATATTTGTTTTTATCTGGCCCTCCAGCGGCGCCGTAGATTTCGAACAAGTGCTATTAGCAGAAAATTTAAAAGCATACTTCGTCGATAACATTGCACTGATTCTTCTGTAATTGTTTCTAGGAGAAAACCTTAATGATTTAAATTTAAATTCAAAGGACCAATCTCATTATAACCCCCCCCCCCCCAAAAAAAAATGAAATATCGATTGGTGGACGATGACAAAGGAATTTAAGATTTACCAAGCTTCAAAGTTAGACTTTTAAGGGGGAAAGCCTTAGCAGCGCGAAGCGCATGCGGTGGTTAGATCATTTCACTCTAGTGTGGAGGAGCAAGAAATTGATGCTTACGTCACTGGTTCGAATCTCAACGCGGACGTCGAGACCAGTGTAAGTCCCGTATCATAGTAGACAGATGTTGGTAGGAAATAAATCTTTTTCTGCTCTATGTCCATACAAATGTAAAAGCCGAATACAGATCTAAAGCATCCCTCAATAGGCAGTCAGTAGTGTTCAAGGGACATGAAGCAAGCGAGCAACCAACCAACAGACTTTGGCATCGTGTATAGCTAACAATATTTCACTTTATAACTAATAAAATTATCTTTACTTTTTGCGAATAGTAAAATAAAAGGCATACTATTCAGTATGGCTATCATGAATTTTTTTTTTTTTTTTTTTGGGGGGGGGGGGTTATTGCTGATATTTTAATAGCTGTACACGTTATAATTACTGTATGCACACCAAAATACATGCACGTACCTAGTAGATTCGGATTTGAATTTTTTTTCATTTTTTAAATTTCAAATTGTTGAAATTTGAGCTTCTTTCAGACAACCAACAAAATTTAAAATTATTACTACAATCATAATAATATATGCTCAAATCTGGTATCTCTTCATGCATGTATTGTAACATCGCTTTTGAAAGTTGGGGGAGGGGCTAGGACAGTTATTGGCAATTTACCTGAAATTTCTTTGACAAACTACATAGAATGAAGAAAATCCTATTTAGGGGGTGGTTTATTTTCTCATTTTTTCGACAAGAGAATTGACTCTACCGTAACAGAAAGGGGGGGGGGAAGAAACCGGTCTTTCAAAGAATGCTTTCACACTACATAAACGGTATAAGATTAAGTTGGGACCCTCCCCCCCCCCCCCGATACTATGTACTATAAAAGTAAATAAAACTGATCATTTCCGCAACATTTCATAGGCAGACTTAAAAAAAAACGAGGTAAATTATTGACAAACAAGTTGATGAAGGGGGGGGGGAGAGAAACCGGCCTTTCAAAGAATGCTTTCATACTACATAAACGGTTTAAGATTAAGTTGGGACCCCCCCCCCCCCCCGATACTATGTACTTTAAAAGTAAATAAAACTGATCATTTTCGTAACATTTCATAGGCAGACTTAAAAAAAACGAGGTAAATTATTGACAAACAAGTTGATGAAGGGGGGGGGGGGAGAGAAACCGGCCTTTCAAAGAATGCTTTCATACTACATAAACGGTTTAAGATTAAGTTGGGACCCCCCCCCCCCCGATACTATGTACTTTAAAAGTAAATAAAACTGATCATTTTCGTAACATTTCATAGGCAGACTTAAAAAAAACGAGGTAAATTATTGACAAACAAGTTGATGAAACAAGAATATCAGCTGTATCGTTTGAAGTCATCATTTCGTAAGTTCTATGGTCGACCTTGCCAGCAAATACAATTTATCATTGAGTCAAATGCTGACTGACTTTTTTCATACATATTGTTAGGCCATTATTTACACACTGAATTGTCGAGGGATTTTTCCGTTATTTCCCGATCATGACAAGGAGCACACGGCGGGTGTGACCGGTCTGCAGGGAATGCTCACTCCTCCATGGCACCTGATCCCACCTCTGATGTTTGGATGTCCGTGTCTGCTCTGCTCCTATTTTGTATTGTTTGATGGACTTTTGAGCCTGAATACTGTTCGTTATCTTCTTATATTTCATTACATGTTAAGACAAGTGACACCGGACCATATTAACTTAACAAGTACTGACAACGGACATTTTGATTATAAATGTCAAGTTTTCATATAGTTATGTGTTCTCCAAAATGCTGTTATGTGTCTAATGGAATGAAAATAGAACTACTTTTCAAACTAAGAAACTAAAGTGCTTTTTAAGTAAACTGGCGACGAATTTTTTTTTTTTCACCACACATCCATGCTTTTACACCATAGTATGTGTTAGCCAATCAAAACTACTCGGAATTTATTAAGTAACAGAGACATGAATGCTAAATCTTGTATCTGTTCTCCAATGATTAAGTGTATTCCTGGAATTGAACAAAAACATGAATTTTTATGCATTCAGTAAAAGTTCTTATATGTTTTGAATGACACCGGACGGATATTATCTTATCCTTACCTCAGAGGTCATGACAACGAACCAATTATAGTGCTAAACTTTAAAGGTCTCTGACAACGGTACTGTAAAGGAACGTAACGTGTTCCTGTGTTGTAAATGTTGTAAGTATATGTTGGTAAACTTTTCCCGAGCATCATGAGATTGTGCCGAGCGAATTGAAGCGAGGGACCAAATCGAATGGCGAGGGAAAAAGTTTAACAACATACTTAGTACATGTTTCACACGAAAAATTAAACCTTTTGTGTCTCTATCTATTTCATTACAATTCTTTGTGTGTTTCTTGTTATTTAAGCAAGATAACGATGATTTGATCCTGACTGTTGCCATTTTGTACATGCCCAGATGATACCCCTTAGGGTAATATATACCTGTCTGCAACAGGTCAGATGACAGTCTACAGTGAGTAGTTTTCAAACACAATAAGGTTCATTTCTATAGATTCAAAATCTCAGTATGAAGATATTCATGTCATTTTTATGGGATTTAAGTCAGGGGACTTGTGGACATTAGTAAAGATTTGTTTTTAGAGGTAAAATGGATAAATTGGTCTTGAAAAGCAGAGATTTCCACAGAAAACGAAAACAGAAAAAAGGGAAAAAATCTGTATGTGGTTGGATTGTCTCGGCTTACAACAATTACAGGGAAAGTTTACACACTACCTGAGCAATAAAGGAATATCCCTGTATTTGAACTTTGCAAAAAATCATATTTTGACTTCTTGCTGTGTCCTCTTAATCTGTTAATTAGAATCGAAGGCAAGATGGTGAGTAACCTTTTCTTTGCACTTTTTGATGAGATATAATTCTAGTTGTAAGTTATAGTGGTGTAATTGCTAAATCCTAAATATTCAAAAAACTACTAAACTGTCCTTAAATTTCTGTTTTGATTTTATTTTTTTTTTTTAATGTAAATAATTTTTAATGTTTTAATTTTGGCTAAAGTTGATTAATTCAGAAAGAAAGACAAGGGAAGGGACAAAAGATCTTTTTTCCTTTATTAATTCTAAGGATTTTATTGACTGTTTAGCACATCAGGTCCAACATTCATTGTTTAGTGACCTTGCCCTCTGTCCATGATAGTAACCTATCATTGATAATGATAGGTTTAATAATTATGCACACAATGGCATAGTCATCCAGCCATGAAGCTTGGGCTTGGAGTGTACCAAGTAATTTGGTGGCAGCAAAAACCCTTTGTTTGAGGTGTGAAACATGTACTAAATTTTGTATGTACTGCCACCCAGTAAATTTACAATATGATTAAGAACCCTCTATACACTGCACACTAAAGAGTTCTGATTCTGTGGCATTTTTATGTAGTTGGAGTAATCTACCCTTAGATCTAAAATAAAATAAATTGAAAATTACAGTTAATCAATCTATTTCTAATCAATTCAAGCATTCTTGATATTTTGATAGGCCAAGATTAATTAATTGAAAACCTCATATGCATGTTTTTTCCCCACTTAGGTTAACAACAGTGATTTCTGTTCATCAAAACCTTGTTGACTTTGAGCATTTTTCCCGGGGGTAAAAGCCAGGCACCCTATATTGAAAATGATAAAAATAAGCTCAATATTTACACCTTTATACAATACAGTTTTCTCAATGTCCAAAAAATATTTTTGTTTAGTGTAGAGAGGGTCCTTAAAAGAAATGTTGCTCCAAAAGGAATTATGCCTTTTCTTATTAGTAGAGATTGTTCTATCTGACGTATCCGTATACGTATCCGTATCCGTATACGTATCGAAGTATGAGAGGTATCTCGATCCCGATGATTTAACCGTTGGGTAACATTTTCATTGTTTCTTGTTTGATTTTAACCTCATTCATTAGAAAATAAGATATATAGTAATATTTCTAATGAAACGTATCAAGTTGCTGTTCACACCTATCATTTTATGGAAGGATTTTTAAAAAAAAAATTAGTAAAAAAAAAAAAATACTTATATTTTTATTAAATTGCTAAAAAATAAAAAAAGGGTTCAAAAAGGGACTTCTCTCTCTCTCTCTCTCTCTCTCTCTCTCTCTCTCTCTCTCACAATATCAGGATACATTATTGTTTCATTCTAGAAGTAACCTTTACCAGTACAAGACATATTCCCCATAATGCATACAGTCAACGCTCGTTATCTCAAACTTGATTGGACCAATTAAAACTTCGATATATCCAAGGGTTTGAGTTAACAAAGTTTAACTGTACGAGGTGTCAGAGAACAAACATTCTAGATGAGTTTAAGTTTGTCTACATCAAGCAGACACTTAAAATTGATTAACAAAGTGGAGAAGGGGGAAGCTGGGCCGAGGCAGGGAGAAACTAAAAAATGACAAGTCACCTTATCAAAACTTTGACAATAAAAAGGTGACCGTACTGCATACTCTGTGTGTGTGTGGGAGGGGGGGGGGTCACTGAAAATTTCCATCCTCATTTTCTTTTTATCATTATCAACATTCTGTATATCATTTGATTATATTTGATGGACATAGTTCTCCAGAAAAGCTTTGGAAAACTGGCAGTTCTGGGGTGGTTTGAAGACTAAATTCCCTAAATTGTTATGTGATAGCCGTATCCGAAATTCCAGAGAGCTTGAGAAAGGACTATATACTATTTCCGAAAGTGATGCAATTACACGCAGTTTTTGTCGGGGATGAATTAATAATTGTCGATAGAAGGAGATAAACGGAGAATTTTTTGTATGTCTCATACATTACTTTATATACATGTTGACTAAAGTTTACTTAAATGATTTATTTATTGAAATTAAGATGACTGTACTTCTTTGTGTACAAGCGGGATCAAAACTCTGAAAAAATGCTGATATTTTATCAATTAAATGTTTTGTACAAATTTTATCCTTTATTCTGTGTTTTAATTTTATTTCTCTGCTACGTTGAAGCAGCCTCTTCTATTCAATTCTATGACATGCGTGTTGAATTGACTCACACTTGTCCCAATCTGGGCCAAAATGCATAAATGAATAAATAAATAAAAATAAAAATATAAATAAATAAAAATCAGCTGGATGGACAAGGTAGCATAGAAGAAATAGATAAATCTATTGTTTTGGCATTTTTTAGTCTAATGTTCTTTTCTTTCTTATAAAAGAGAGTTAAGATTCATAATGAATACCCTATTTTTGTTCTATATCAAACAATGAATCATAATACACATGTACGACAACAAGAGAACTAAAAAGAAAAATCAAATTTAACAATTGAATTTTCATTTCATTACCTACTTTTGTCGCCATGAAGTCTTTTCAAGTTATTACTGCTGAAAGGACAAAATATAAAACAAAATCAAGCCGTATGAGAATAGGCTCGAAAGTAGCAATTTCAACTGGGGAGGGGAAGGGGAGACATACAGGTATTTGTCAAATAGTTCATTGAAAAAAAAAAGAATGAAGAAAGTCAACAGATGCTATGAAAGTTTGTGTGTGTTCCCGGGGGGGGGGGGGGGGACTGGCATTTTTAAGCATATACTGGTAAGGGTCTGGAAGTAAATTTTCTTTAGAAAACTGCTACACGGTTTTATTGATTGTGTGGATATCAACGTCTTTTGCATTTACAGTGTGTGAGTGAGGGGGGTTAACTTTTATGTCATCTAATGTAAATTACAGAATCAATCAATAAAATGTCCTGATGTTAAGAGGGAGAGAGGGGGATCCCGATAAATGTTTTTAAACAAAATTGCAATTAGATTTTTAAACAATATAATGAAAACAAATACAAATATATTGAATTTCATTATCTATTTTTTTTATTTTCCAGCGAAATAACAAACTTTTACAGCAGCTTAATACATTTTTTTATTAGAAAAAATACCATATGCTATTCTTAAATGAATGGGGCTGCTTTAAAACCAAACAAATAACGATGGAATTTATAGTAAATAATTTAGACATCGGGATCGAGATGCCTCTCTCACCTCGATACGTATACGGATACGGATACTTATACGGATACGTCAGATAGAACAATCTCTATTAGAATCTTAATGATTTAACTTTTAAGTATGTTTAACAGTTAGGTGCATTCACATAATACAAAATACAATTAAAGGAGGTTGGATCCTGCCATCAAAAGTAATGAGAATTTTTTATCAAGTATATTTTTAGAATCTACACACATATCTTAATAAAAAATCAAAACAAAAATGGGAGTCAATGTGTTTCTTTTGGCGCTGCATAGCATTTAGTTTGATCTTTTTGTACTGTAAATGCGTCTTACACATAAATTAATTTTTAAAGTATTTCCTCCACAATTTTTTTTTCAGATAAATTATGGGAACAAACACAGTCTTATTTCATCTTGAATGGACAAATTGAAATTTGTGACAACAAAAAAATTTCAAATTACTCCGCATGTTCAATTATTTGACCATTTTGCACTCAAAAAATATCCTCTTTTTTTGGCATTAAAAATTGAACAAGCAATAAAATCATTTGAAAGTAATGGCATTTTACTGAATTTAAGAAGAATGGTTAAAAGTATCTTATATATTCAGAAAAGAAAATTAAAAGTTGGAGTCTGTGATGTTAATTTTTAGATATTATTAAAATAGTGCTAATTTTAAGTTTAAATTAGGGCTATTTTTCTGGATTTTCACAATATGTTTGCTATATTTATCAAATATGATGATAGAATTCATGATAATGTATTCACTATATAATTTAGGACCAGCATAAAACAGTTCACGGCACAGAATAACTCTGTGTGCAGGCTGCATAGATAAAAGGGAATCCAAACTTAACATACTTTAAATACTTCGAAAGAGAAAAAAATGATCATTTTCTTCTACAAAAAAAAAAAAAAAAAAAAAAAAAAACCATCCGCCACAAAATATAGTTCCTCACATAATGCTTTTGGCATGAAATTTAATCATGGAGTTTTAACTGAATATAGTTTAACTGGTACCGTAGGATCCAAAGTTATTGTAAGAACTAAAACATAATGCAGAATTTTTAAAATAAAGGTTAAGACAAAAATCTACTCTAAAGCTCAGGAACGAATCTCGTTAAAAAACTAGTCATATTTATTTCTAATACATAAGCAAAATCCAATAAGCATATTAAGTAGTTTATAAAGCGTCTTTATACAAAACGTTTAGTGTTACACTTCTACTATCGCGCTAAGAATGATTGAAATAGAAATAGATATGTAATTTTATGTAAGCAAAGATAGAATTTGTTCTCCAGAACCTCTTAATAAGAAAATTCTAGGAAAGTTATTCTAAACCCACCAATCCCCTCATTTATTTATTTATTTATTGGTATTTCACCTCTATTATATCTTGAAACCCTTTATTGAATATAAAATTTTCAATTTTATATGTCATAAGTACAGTGTACTTTGATGTTAATTGAAAGTTTTTTTGTTTTTTTTTTTTTTAAATCTAGTTTCTTTTACAACTATATAAAGGTTGCTCCTGCGCAAATGTTAGGAATTGTGAACGCAATAAACAACTCAAAGTGCCCTCTATTTAAGTATACCGATTAACTGAATGCCTAAAATATTTAAAAGAGCAAGGGCCACTTAGGGCCTTTTTTGGCCCTGTAAATTTATGAAAATTTGAAACTGCATAGTTTTAGTTGACAAGGCAATAAATATCACTTGAACACTTGGTGACTGAATTTCTACTAAAATGACGTGATTTTCTTGCAAGACAATGTATTATGACGTCATGAATTGCGTCAATATTCACATATCCCGTATATTTCTTCAAAAATTGTCAAAATATGATGCTATTTTCCAATATCTCGTATACAGCACAACCTTCGATCCAAAATGTGCAAATACATTATGAAAGAACTGCTCATAAAGATTATAAAACATACTTTAATTTTTGGATCGAGGGAAGTGCTCATATTTTAATTCTTTGTTGAAGGTTCTCAAATTCACCTGTTTTCTGCAAAATTCAAGAACATTGAAATTTCACACAACCTGTTTTCCAAAATCTGGACTCTTTAGAGAAAACTTTTATATACAAACTGAAAGCGCC